GCTACCTCGCCGCCCCTATATGTAAACAAAACGAAGATAAAGGTGGTATATCTCATCTCGCGTGTACTTCGATCAGTGTACACAGGCGTAACAACTGTCATTTGTAACCAAGACCCGTGAAGGTCCGGGGTAGAATAGGTCTTCAGCAACCCATTCTTGTCATAAACGGCGACTATGCTTGTCGTAAAAGGCGACTAACGGGATCGGCTGGTCAGGCTCTCTGACTTTGTTGACACATGTCATCGGTTCCCAATTGCGCAGATCGATGCTCATGCTGTTGATCACTGGATTGTCTGGTCCAGACTCGATTATTTACAGACCGCCGCCATATTGCGGGAATATTGCTGAGTGCGGCGTAAAACTAAACTCACTCACTCACTCATTTGTAACCCCACCCCAACCAGCCACGCAAGATCGTTTACACCATTTCAGAGTGGATCGTATTTCTAGTACAGGTTACATCTTTCTCCGATGTCTTTTATTTGTTTAACAATTGAAAATATTCAAAACGTCCTAAGGTAGGTAGTATATCTATATTGTAACTTTAAGTATATTTTATCAACATTCGTCCCTCTGTAGGGGCGGTGGGGTGCCTAGTGGTTAAAGCGTTGGCTCGTCACGCCGAAGACCCGGGTTCGATTCTCCACATGGGCACAATGTGTTAAGCCCATTTCTGGTGTCCCCCGCCGTGATATTGCTGGAATATTGCTAAAAGCGGCGTAAAACTAAACTCAGTCAGTCAGTCAGTCGTCCCTCTGTAACTGACAGCAAATTAAAGAGGGCTGTTGTGGATGGACGGAAACTCGCAAACATCAGTTTTCCCCTCCAAATATCTTGCCTTTAGAGATAGTAAGAGAGAGAGTAATACGCACATGCTCTTTTGGTGTAGTGTTGATATTACCCTCCCACCCCTTTTGGTCCCCCCTGTATTTTCTGGTCACATTCGATGATCGAATATTGATAACCCACAGCCTAGTTTTGGTATGTTCGCAAACATCTACCTAGATATTTGTACATTCTTATCAATTTACATGAAGAATTAATTTTTTGGGCGTGATACATATTCTCTCACTGTGTGTTTAGTTTCCAACGTGGACATATCTTACGCTTTCGATTAGGCAAGTAGAGTAAGCTCCCCTGTCGAACCACGGATAATGCGGTCACAACGTTTCAACACTATGATCTGACATATGCCAGAGATACCCCCGTCATGTCATTTTTCGATCTTTCATTTCCAAATCATATAGATTCATTGCCTTCACATGCATGTAATTCATCGCCTTCAGGTTGAAAAGACGAACACATATCCCAAAACATAAAAAGAGAACCTAACTGCATGCGGAATATATCTTATCATATATGCGAGTTGTAAAGATAGTTCACGTAATCTTTGCTTTGTGTGTTAGATAAGATCTATTATAAACGAGTAATGTAGGTACGTTACATAAATTATACTTAATGAAGTACATACAATCTTCAAGCAATGGCGATAAGACAAGGAATGTTAAGATAACCCTGCAATCAAGCTATAATTTGCGTGACGTGGGCAACTGCAACAGTTCCTGGTGGTTCTAAAGTAATCGGCAGAACGGGCATCCTCGGAGGAGGAAGGAATGGGTTAAATCAGTTAAATCTTGAATGACGGTGATTTGCGTTCAGCCGATATCATGTTACCTCGTGGCAACATTGTACGTCGTCGGTGAGGATGTAACGATCACGTCTGTGAAGGTTACGAGGTGAAAGTGGATGAGGTCGCGTCACAAGAATTATGTCACGACTCATGGTGTCTGTTTACCCTGTATTTACCTCGTTTACCCAGTATTTGTCTAGCTTACCTTGTCTTTACCTCTTTATTTAATAGCAAAGGCCAAACACGTGTGTGAATCCGTTGGGCATGTTACGTTTAATCGAGTATGTCGTGAGACAGTGAGTTGGTAGGGTTGAAGGCCGCCTCAGCAGTATTTCAGTTACATCACTGCGTGTCAGCTTAATGTGCAAGGACGGTCCGAAGTAAAAAATAAAATTCACGAGCAGATAAACCGAGAAATACGACATGAAAAATCTAGTCAGGACGTTTATTATCAATTGAAAGCCCCACACGAAACCCAAGAGATAAAAAAATAAAAAATAAAAAAATAATAAAAAATAAAATAAAAATAATACATACAAAACATATTTATGAAATCAAAACGTACATGACCATATGACTGTTCAAGTTATAGTTATTACTATTACAGGAGCTGAATCAGACTAGCTCTTGTTCTCTGAATATATGTAATTCTGATAGTAACAAATAAACCCATCTAAATTGAAAAGGAGCCCCAGTCAGATGGGAAATTCTGAACTGATGGAAATCTAGACAAATTTTGTTCAGGGCTTTAGCATTGCATGGAGAACTGGGCAGTAGAAAATATAATGTGGTTCAGGGAGTGTGAGACAGGCTAGAGCTGGTGCATGGTAGCTGCAATTATTTCCAAAACATAATAATAAATTAATAATAAATTCACCACCGTAACCGTGCTTTTTCCAAATGGCCGAGTTCCGACTGGCCTAAATTGCATGGGACAACTGACATATGACACACCACCAGGTGCCGCGTCGATATGAATATAGAATTCGGACCAATGATCACATGATCTTACGACGTCCATGCGACGCAACCTAGATACTAAAGATCGATACTTACCATTAATTATATGTTGCGGAGTCTGTGTGTATAATATGAATAAATCCATGTTTAAGGGATAATTACGTTCTTGATAGTGTCTCTATGCATAGTAAATATGTCTACAAAAAAGCTATTTGTTGTATCGTGAAAATATTCAAACGTCTATAAATATACGTCTGTACGTATACCAATAACAAATTAAGCGATATGCTAAAGAGGATAGTAAAAGAGATAATGACACAAAATCCAAACAAGTTTATAATACGCGGCCAAAATCCAAACAAGTTTATAATACGCGGCCAAAATCCAAACAAGTTCATTGTCAGCGGCCAATTAGCCTGACAAGATCAGACTGACATCTAAGAAAGCGTCGACAGTAGGCCACTCATCATTGTTCCCGTTAGAAACGGAGGCATTGAATTGCTTCAATTCGTAGATGGGGAATTAAATATTCAGGCCTAGCAGGTCTCCCTGCCGCAGCCCATGTTGCGGACGTGTGAGGACCGGGCCGTCACACCTTCAACCACCTCCTCTGCCTACACAGCGGAGTAATTAAAGTCTTACACAGCTAGTACAAGAAACTAACGAAACAATCGATGTTATATGACTGTTCCAGTACGTTTCCATGTAACTAGCCCAACTAGGAATGAATTATCAACTAAACCCATCCCAACATCATTAGACTGGAAATGCATTGTAGAAACATGTACACGCAATACACGCACTGAATTCTATAAGTGAATTAATTCCATTAATGCTTTGGATACGTAGATCCGATCGAATTTAAATTAGGAATGAAGTTTTTGTTTCAGGATTTCCGGAATCCAACAAGTTTAAACTTAATCAAGCCTGAGCGTATGAATACGAGATTGTATTCAGAAAGATATATTTCAAATGAAAATGATGAAGAGAGACTATTTTGATTTATTTAGTTGTGTGTATGATTGCCTTGATTCATCGATAGTCAACGTTTCCCTTTTGTCTACCAGTATGTCAGTAGATCCGTCCTCGGCGTCCTTTACCAGGCATTTGTCTTCTACAGGTATCACATGCTCAAGTGCTTGTTCAGGTGACCAAATGACTTGCCTTTGCGTGTGTTTGGGTGGAGCAGGATACGCTCATCTTTTTGCAAACACCTGATATCACCACTACCAGAATATCCTTCATATTACATTCAAAAACGTTTTCCTAACGCCAGTTGATGACCATATTCATGAACACAGTTGGTGAAGAATGAGGACTATTTTTATGGATATACAACTATAAAGAAGTTGTATATCCATAAAAATAGTCCTCATTCTTCATCTACCCAACTTCTAGAATGCCAATCAAAGAAAACACAGACGGTATAAAACAAGTATGAAAGAATACAGTGAACTAGAAAAAAAACCCATATGAAAACACTTTGCACGAATAAATTTGATCATGGAATGTCAGCTATACGCCAGAACACAGTAACTGGGGCTTATCCAAATACTGACACACTTTGCCTCAACTTTCAAATTTCTTTCTCATAAATCAGGTAATATTACCCCATTTTCTTCGCGGAGTTGTGTTCTCAAGCCCATATTCCTAAGTAACCAAATCAATATTGTCAGTTTCAGTGTGTTGACAAGCCTTTCCAAATCTCACATCTCAGGAAACGAACCACATCAATATATACCACTCAACTTTTAAAAGGGATATTTTTATAATATTTCTGTATTCATCCCAGATAGTACTAGTACGCCACTACGTATAACATATGGACGTGAAAGTATGAAGTATCCGGGTATCCTTGTCAATGGTTGTGTGAAATATATATAGACGAGGCCGAGAGTTCAACCTTCTGAAACTACACGTCATTAAATATGTAAAAGCAAATTGTGAATAAATGATAACTGAAGGCTCATTAGATGTCTTATTATTATGACAATAAAATATTAAGCTATGTACAGTCACTGTGTAAAGTGCACGCAATAGGAACTGTTGTTTACAGCCTTCTCATTACAGTGTACGCGTTTCTGCGTAGAGGTGAGCCATGGCCAGCATTCCCCATTTGCTAAACGAATGACTGCAGTCGGTGAGAGTGTGTCTGTGGTGAAGGGGCGTGGAGCCTCAACCGGGGACAGTTTCCTGTTTAAGTGAATGCTAACATGGTTATCCCGTCTTTATTGGGGGCAATTCTTCGAAATCTTAGCTTACTGATTACCTTTAGTACGGAAAGTCTCCTTTCTGCATTCCATGATTAGATTTCGTGCATTTTCATGCAGTCGTTTCTCGCTGAATCTCCGTCGAGCGTTGGCGATTTGTTTTCCCCGTGTGGTCTCCATAGGTTTACTTCTCTTTGCAGCATTGATCCCATCTCGTTGAAGGAAGTGCTCACGGCGTGGAAGCAATGCCTGGGACTGTCGCCCGGCCCCTCAGAGAGCGGAGTCCTTTCGTCGGAGAGCTGCAGTGACGCGCCCCATACGCCAAAGTTCACAGTGATCAAAACTTGTGGACTGATTCTTCCCGACTCGTCAGACACATTTGAAGAATGGACAAGCCGCTCTCGGTAGACCCTGATCTGCTGGTTGTGTGTCTTGCTAGTCGCGGTATCGACCTCGTGCACATAATTGCCTGGAATTAATGGGTTTATATGAAACAACATAAGTGTGGAAAGTTGTTTGACAATGGATTTTTGAAATCAAACATTGTTCATCTAAGCCGGCGTGAATATCGGAGAAACTTCAAGACCATGTAACAGTCACGTCGTTCGGATGGTTGGCGAGGAATCGCCTGATGTGTGGAGGAGACTATTGACTGAAATGATTGAGAGACTGTAACAAACCAAGGAACGTTTGTTGAGATTTGTCGGCGATGGGGATAGCAGACCAGTGTTCCCGGCTCATACTTCTCCTGGTGTGTGTGCCTCTGACCTGCAGGGTGACCCGTGCGGTTGATATCCGCGCGAATGTGACCTCACCAAAGATTATCACAGCCTTTATTGCAGGTGAGATAATGCTTGGTGGACTGTTCCCTGTGCATCAGAAAGGCGACGGAGAACATGCATGTGGGGCGATCAACATTGACAGAGGTGTGGAACGTCTTGAGGCCATGATGTTTACTATTGACGAGATCAACCGCAACAAAAGTGTTCTTCCGGGGATAAGGCTAGGAGCATCCATATATGACACGTGTGCTCGAGCTACATATGCTTTGGAACAATCTCTTGAATTCATAAGAGCATCTTTTACATCTCTAGATGCATCTGAATTCGTTTGTCTTGATGGATCAACAGCCAGGGCTAAGACAATACCAACGGCAGTGGCAGGAGTGATAGGAGGGTCATACAGCACCGTGTCCATGCAGGTGGCAAACTTGCTCCGGTTGTTCAAACTTCCCCAGGTAAGCTATGCGTCCACCAGTGCAGCTCTCAGTGATAAAACAAGGTTTGATTACTTTGTACGCACGGTTCCACCTGACGACCTGCAGGCCAAGGCTATTGCGGACATTGTCCAAGAGTTTAACTGGACCTACGTGTCCACAGTCGCTTCCGAAGGAGAGTATGGGGAATCCGGTATTGATGAATTTCAACAAGAAGCTAAAGCTAGAAATATATGCTTGGCTGCCACTGTGAAAATAGTCGGCAATGCTAACAACAGCACCTTTGATAAAGTCATATACGAACTGCTTCAGAAGCCCAAAGCAAATGTTGTGATCGTGTTTTGTAGGGTGGAACATGCCAAAGGGTTGTTGGATGCGGCAACTAGACAAAACCATTCTGGTAGATTTATATGGATAGCCAGCGATGCTTGGGGACGAAATGACGCTCCAGTTAAGAGGAATAATTTGGCAGCCCAAGGTGCAATAACTTTAGAACTTCAGTCAACCCCGATAAAGGTATTTGAAAATTACTTTATTGGACTTGATCCTCATTCTAATAAACGTAATCCCTGGTTCAAAGAATATTGGGAATCTGTTCACAAGTGCAAATGGCCAAGTAGTAAGACCTTCAGACGAGATGTGGGCAACATCTGTACTGGGTATGAACCTTTTGACAGAAAGCTCACCCAACAGGAAGGAAAAGTGCAGTTTATATATGACGCTGTGTATGCTATGGCCTTGGCTCTGGATAAGATGCACCGGGAGCTGTGTCCACACACAGACAAACTGTGTCCTGCAATGGCAAAGATTGATGGGGAAACACTCCATAAGCAGTTTCTTCAAAATGTGTCTTTTCAGGGTAAGTTATTTTCTTTTCTCTTCCATATAATCATATATATAATTGAGACGATTGACTTAACTGATTGGTTTTCAATATGATGATCTCTCATATTTAAGTGATTGAAATTGTACTGACCTTTCCCAAATATCACTCCAACGTATAACACCCTCAACTGCGTTCCACACAATTGTTTTCAGTGAAATGAGGAAGTACTGTCAAAAATAATACTAACCAATACATAATCTACCAATACATCCTTCTAGTGCTTTCTGGGGCGGTGGGGTAGCCTAGTGGTTAAAGCGTTGTCTCGTCACGCCGAAGACCCGGGTTCGAATCCCCACATGGGTACTATGTGTGAAGCCCATTTCTGGTGTCCCCCGCCGTGATGTTGCTGGAATATTGCTAAAAGCGGCGCAAAACCAAACTCAGTCTGTCATTCTAGTGCTTTCTTCCAGAGAGGGGCAATGTATTTTCGGACAGGCTAACAGATGTACCTTCCTCATGATGGATGCATCCACTTGGGCAGGCCATGCCCACCCTTTTAACGAAAACACTCATTCACAGATTCATGTTAATGCCTTGGTCAATGACACTTTACTGGACAGGTTCTTGTACCTTTGTCCAACACTGGATGATCCGCAAGGGTTTATTTTGTTGTTGTTTAATGCCGCACACAGCTATATGACAACGGTATGTGAATAATCGAGTCTGGAGCAGACAATCCAGTGATTGACACCATGAGCATCGACATATGCAATCGGTATACGATGACATGCATAAACCAAGTTAGTAAGCCTGACCTGGCTTCGATGAAGGTACCAGCACTTGTACCAAAATGTCAGCGAAGAATGAAAAATCCATGACAACAGTTACTGTCTTAATTCACTGACTTACATATTCCCAAATACTATATAGAGATACAACACTATAAATTGATTCGTGCGTCACTTGTCCTGAATCTGCCACGTTTATTGTGTGCCCGGTTCCCAGTCACTGGAATATAGAATATAAACATTCTCCATGTCTTGACTATGAAACCGTGTTATCTAATTTCTGAAAGGCCATGCATATATGCTTTTTTTGGCACATTGTTTGAATGGTGGGTGCTCTCAGTAGGGCAGTACATGTTTACCTATTTCTTGCACACCTGGTGTCACCTACTTATATAAATGTCACTGTTGTTTTAACCATGGACTAGCGCTTAGTCTCTGAATAGATATCATTTTGATAGTAACAAACAAACCCATATATATCGAAAAGGAGCCCCCGGGAGACCAGAGATTCAGAACCTGAGGAAATATAGACTTGCTTCATTTAGGGCTTAAGCATTACAGAGAGGGCTTGGCAGTAGGGGAATAATGTGGTTCAGGGACTGTGAGACAGACTATTTCGACCATTTCACTAAACTGAATATATTTGAGAGGACAGTCAAGACTGGGTATTTTCTGTCTCCGGCGCTTTACAATCTACAAACTTTGCTGGCTTTTTAGTTTAGCATTATCTGTGTGATATTCGAGTGAATCATCTCTCGTGTTTTGACTTTGGATACGTTTACGCGAAGTGTAAACACGTGCGTGTATTATTCAACGGTAATTCAAGCCGTCATATCTACTGTTATGCTCGGACGCCCCGATAGGAATACTGATAAGGAGTTAATGTATCATTTTTTTCTGCTTTGAGTTGATGCTATAGCTATGAATGTACAGGCTGGTCATGCACTTGTTCACTTTCCTCTGCCTACCGTCAAGATGGACTGGTAAGCCTTCAGATCAATCCATAAATACCTGCGTAAAGCAGAGTCGATGTCAGAATTCCGACTATATCATATCTTGTGTTTATGAATCACTATAAATAAAATGGTACTTGGTGTTATCGAATGAGTGAGCGTATTCTGCCCTACCAGTGACGCCCGTCATAAACCTGTGCAAAGGTCATTCAGTTGTTCATCTGAAACAAATATAGTACAGGAGAAATTAGGAAATTGAGACTCAATTTTGCAAGCTTTACCGAGGCCTTGATTGTTGTAAGCTTGATGAAATAGGTTCTGAGCAAGAACTTTATGACGCCCTTTGAAAGTTTGGTAAAATGAGCATGCCCAATTGCACCAAATGGTGGAGCTGTTAGAATATTGCTCGACATGAAGGGAAAGAAACCATTAACGGGGTCATGCTCGTTGTATTAGTTGGCAGATGATATCGTATCACGACTTCGTGGATCGATGATCATGATTTTCATCGGAGTGTCTGATCCAGACTTGTTGACATTGATGAGTGCGTCGTCAAACAAAAAACACCACCACACAATGATTTTACAAAAACGTTATCGGTATAAAACCTCTTCAGAAGTGCCAATTGTCACTGCAGACACATAGTTTGATGGACGAGCATTCTTTAATATCATAATCAAAACGTTTTTCTGTACAATCGTTCATCACTATTTTATCCCATCGTCGGTAAGGTTCTTTGTAGGACACAGCCATGGGATTTACGGATACATATGCAAATATGAAAGGTGAAGCAGATACTGCTTTCCTTGATTACAGACAATGGGCGATCGAGTCCGGTCTGACACTAGGGAACCATGACGAGATACCAGGTGTTATCATTATCAAAATACTAATCTAAGATAGAGAACATCGGTATCTTAAAGGACGTAGCTGAGGCCTTTCACAGGTGTAAGCAAAAACGAACATCGATCGAGGATCGTGGGAATAGTGGGATCATCGAGGATAGTGGGAATGTTTGTTCCCATGCACATCTATTTAGTCTTCTGCGGATTTAGACAAACAGCTGAATTGGTCAAATTATGTCTGAATTTTTACTTTGATTTTTCATTTTATCGCTGTGTGGTATCCGACTGTGTTTCGTAATCCCGTTACGCAACAGTATTGCAGGGGCACACTCGAAACCACCGTGATGTTTCATAGGTTAGAGTAACTTCCCTTTGATAAAGGGCAGTCACTCTAGATCAACGATTGTGCTTATATGGTAGACCTCACTGTTCGCCCTTGTCGCTTACACTGTGCCGTCTTATATTAATTATTAACTATATTAATTCCTATATCAACTGTTCAAAATAATCAACACTCAGCGATGATAGATAAATCTGGGAGTGATAAAATGTTTTAGAAGATATAATTTATAGGTTGTAATGATTTTGCCTATCGGTGTGGTATATCCTGCAATAGGGACAGACATTGTATATTTCGCAACCCAAGGTTCTTTAAATACAACCTTTATGCCTAAAAACGCATATTTGCCATTCCAGGAGTCAACCGCGTGACAACCTTTATTCACTCTTCGTGTAATAATTCCTCAACAGCCTCCATCTTATCGTAAACATTAGGGTACCTGCTGGATACTCGACAAATACTACAGTGCTCTCTGGATAGACGCTGTGATGAGCACATGTTTAGCTGTCGGCTTCTGCCAGTACGTTTCCTAATTTAAACCAGTCCGCGGCGATGGTTCCCTGACCCACGACTCCAGGAATAACACGGACTGAGCCCATATGGATGATCTAAAATAGGCTCAATCTGTAATTGTGATCGAACCACGCCTTAAACAACTCGCACAATTGCAATCGATTACATTCTTTGAGAAACGTAACATCCATTGATTTGATTACTTTGGTCATGAGGCGTCCTTTTACTTAAACGAAAATATCTGGCCCAAACTTTGATAAGCCGTCTATTGGGGCGCAGAGAATCGCCATCCGCAGAGCCATTGATTTTATGACCGTTCTTTCAAACTTGAAACGGAGATATGAGTATAACAATATGTTTCGTGAGACCTTGTTTCGTATCTCGTGTGAGAGCGGGCGTCAAACGTGGTTATTGATAACACACAGTGTTTAATTTACCTAATGCGACTGCCCAATTTTATTCGTAGCTTTCCTTGATGTATGGCCTGCCCCGTCAGATGATGGAGATTAGATTGGGCATAGCGACACCATAGCCCGTTTGAGCCAGAGGTGCCATTTCTTTTTTCCTGATCCTAATAGGAGCATGAAGGGTGAAGGTTTTACGCCGCTTTTAGCAATATTCAGGCAATATCTGTGCGGACACCAGAATTGGGCTTCACACATTGTTTACATGAAGGCAATCGAACCCCGGCCTTCGGCGTGACGAGCGAACGCATTATCCACTAAGCTACCCTACCGCCCCTGGCAGGTAGACCACCATTCGGCTTGCCACTTTAACTGCGGAACTGACGTTTTGTTTTTCAAAAATACCCCTGTTGAAACATGGTGTTTTTATTGTGGGTCGATGGCAGACATAAATCACGAAGATTAATGTACGTATGGCAGAGACAGTGCCCGGGGGACGGGTTTTGGAGCTGCGTATGGAAAATTAATGAACTGCCTAATGTGTGACTGCGACAGCCCGTAATCCTCCTTATTACCAGCCCCAAATCGAGGCCGTTTGCTCTTTCGATTACAAGTTAAGTCAAATTTAATTAAATGATGCCGGTACTTACGAATTATATCGACTGGTCTTTAGGACAGAACGAATTAAACTGTAATCCGTTAGCATCTTGATACAGCACGCATTATTTATCAACTTTCCCCATGCTCATAAAATCCCCCACATTGCCAATGTACGGCTTAAAGGGATTCTTCGAGCGCTTTCATGCAGTTTAAAGTCGAATCACGTTTGCCAGGGAATTGCTCTCTGCAGGTCTGCATCAGTTTCATATCATAACCTCAGGATATAATAAATAGACGGTGGTAGGAATATGATCTCCAGAACCGCAAAACTGTCTGTTAGATACAGATTACATATGCTCAAATTGTCCATTTAAGAATACGAGAACCATTACTTAGCAGATCGGTAATAAAAAATAATATTTAAAACTCTTAACGATAGCATTATATTTCATGCTGAACAAACAAGTTTAAGCACTGCGGGCTCAAAACATTGATCCGTGTTCAATCACTGCGTTTACGTTCTAGTGGGCTATTACAAAGTTAGTTCAGCTTTTAGTTTTACGCCGGTTTTAACAATATTCCAGCAACAT